TCTGACCACAACTTTTACCAGCATTAAAATGACAGTGAATAGCGTCGGGGAAACCCAGTACAGTTGTCCAGCTGGAGAAGCCAACAATTGCATGTAACTCACAATGGTGTTGTTGTTATGGAAGTCTGAGTTTCATCACCTCACAAATTTTGTCAGATGAGCATTTTTAAAATTTGTCAGTAATGAAATAAAGAGGGCAAAAAATGGTGAGGACACAGTTAAAAGTTAAATGACCATCATTTTTATTCTTTACTGTATTCTTTGTTTTTTATATTTTGCACAACTCTCATTTATTGTGCAATAATTGTAACATGTATTTGTTACATATTTTGATGCAGTTTTATGCTTTACAAAACATTTCTGTCTGAATTTTGGGGGGCTTAGAACGGATTAGGACATTTACATGCAAAATGCGTCTCTACTTACGAAATTTTCTCGTTAAGAAATTTCTTCAGGAACCAATTAATTTCGTAAGTTGAGGGACCACTGTATTTGTGCATTTTCTGCGCTGTCAATTTAAAATAATGTGCCATTTTTGTGTGATAGCAGACGGAAATTTGGATAAAATGTTTTTTTAATCTGCTGTTTCAATAAATCTTTAGTTTTTGTTTTTTTTACACATTAATCAGTCGTTACAGTGATTCTTAGTGAGCAGCTCTAAAATTGAAAAATGTGCAGCTAATTTACATGATCATATCGGCCAACCTAATTGAAATCAAGTGCTGGGGTGCAAAAGTAGGATTCTACCCATGGTGATAATCCAATGTCAACTCTAAAGGCACAGCAAATAAAAGTTAAATGCAGTATTTATCAGCAATTGAGTTCCCGTTTCATGCTAATAGGCTATTACAAAAGTAATCCATTCGTAAGTGTGTCATTGAAGGAATAGCCCAATTCAACATGCACTTCAGGCTGGACTAAGATTTTAGGTTGGCTGCGCTGCTTTTCATTTTGCATTATCCAACACCAAAGTTACTCCGAAGTTGTATTTTTTTTTTTCTAGTACTGTTAATCCGTTGAGAATGTTAGTTGCTTGTAAGCCAACTTCTGCCTCAGATTTTCGGTATCCGTGCCTATGCACGACAAGCTCAAAGATGCAACATATGGTTAGAATGTTTTTCTTGAAATAAATAATTATCCTCGGTCAATTGGATTGTGAAAGAGTGAATCCTTGTCAGCAGTGGTCGTCTAAGTTGAATTGCCTTGGAAAATTACTGAGGAGAAGCGAGGCAGCGAGGAGCCGGCGAGGCGAGTGAGAGTGCTTATTGCAGTTAGCACTGCGGGAGTCTGGATGTCTGCTGATTGGAGGTCTCACGAGGATACAGGAAAGTGCTCCAACATCACTGTGTTTGTAACATCTGGTTGCCTCTGATGACCACATGTGGCACAATTCATTGAACAAAACCCATAAATAACCACAATAGTTACAAGTAGCCCGCTTACCTCTACGGTTGCCAACAATCCGAAATAAAATAGGCCGGATCTGAGGTTTTAATCCCATCCCTGTCATTTGAACCCTGAGCTTCAGACATAGTGTATTAATTAATTGAGACTGAATCAACAGCAGCTTTGGCTGTTTCAGCCAGAACACGATTCATAAATTCTACTCCACAACTGCAAAATTCCACATAATCTGCAAAATTTGAACGATCAGTTTATCGATTAATCAATTGTAATACCCGTCCTGAATGTAATATATACAGGTATAATATGCATGCAGTAGGCGATGAAGAAAGATCAAGAAAAATGAAGCGCGTGTTAACATTGGAGGGATACAAGTCCCGGTAATGTGTTTCTGCAGATTATTTGTACAGTGAAACTCCTCTACAACGAAATCATGTTTGCAGCAAGAAATTTTTCACAACAGGGGGTTTTTCACTGTAGCAAATTTGATCTCAGATGTAAGCACACACACACCCACACACACAAACGTATGTGTACACGCACACACAAACGTTTGTGTACTCTATTTTTATTCCAATAGTACATAAGTATGAGCACACACTTATTTGACACTTCATATTGTCAGTGTAGAAAGAAAAAAAGGGAAAGAAATTGCGAAATTTACGATCAGCATTCACTTTCACTTACGTCAATTTCTTGGAAAATGTCTTTTATTTTGCTTGCTCCGTCTTTCATTTTGATCACTTTTACCCTCTCTTCCAGCATCAGAGCTCTTCTTGTCTTAGCTGCTTGACATCAAAAGGTCCGTTTTGTAGCCATTTTAGCAATGCAACGTCCATCCTCGTCTGAATCTAACAATAACAAATACTTCCTGGCATGCAATGAACTTTTAAGCCAGCCACGGGGCGCTTCGTAGTCCTCGATGGCCATAGTTAGCTCTCGAAGGCTAAAAACCTTACGCTAACTGGAGCGCTTCTCTCTCATTAGCGCTCCAGTGGCTCGACGGACATTCAAATAAACGAACGTTTCCTCGAATGCTTTACTTGTTATCATGCTAAAAACAGCCACGGGACGCTTCGTAGTCCTCGATGGCCATAGTTAGCTCTCGAAGGCTAAAATCCTTACGCTAACTGGAGCGCTAATGAGAGAGAAGCGCTCCAGTTAGCGTAAGGTTTTTAGCCTTCGAGAGCTAACTATGGCCATCGAGGACTACGAAGCGTCCCGTGGGTGTTTTTAGCATGATAAAAAGTAAAGTAAATGTCCGTCGAGCCATAAGCAATTTACTCTGAGCAGCTAATCGGATGCTACGGATCTAGCTTCAGTATCTACACACATAGACAGTGAGGTCTATGTGGCCTCTTGGCCAATCGGAGGCCAGGATGATGTTCGGTAAGCCAATAGCAGAGCAGCTATGAGTATGTTGAGCCCAGGAAACTCGCAGCTGTGACCGAAATAAACATTGTTCACTATGTAAACCAGTGTGGTGGTTGCTGTTGCCTTTTTTCGAACGAAGCAGTAGAGGTCGCTGTTGGATAAGACTTCGTTGTAGTGAATGTCTTCGCGAGGCTGGAGCAGACAAAATGATTTCGTATAACGCAACAGGGGGGTTTTCGTCGTATGGGGGGCAGGAGAATGGGAATTGTGTTAATGCATGAAGATTTTTTCACATAAGGGGGTATTTTCGCCCATGCAGGTTTCGGGGGTATTTTCGCCCATGCAGGTTTCGTTCTAGAGGAGTTTCACTGTAGCATGTTAGCATTACGAAAGTATTCATATGCAGCATGTGATTTGGTACTTTTACACCGCTTCTAAAAGCACATTTTTTTTTTTCCGTTTGAGTAATAGCCTCCACATGGTGCCAGTTTTAAATGTTTCAGCTCCAAAATACAACTGTCATGTACCACTGGTTTTATCCTTTTTAATGGTTGAAAACTGTCATGAAAATGGCTGCTGAAGGCCACTACTTTGGCTATGATCACTGTTGCAAAAAGCTTCTCCTAAAGTCACACTTTGGTGTTTAATCCTACTGCCAGACAAAAAAAATGCTGAATGTAACCACCTTGGTGGAGGTAATGAGTTGTTAGTGTGGATGAGGTTTGAGGGCTCAAGAACAAAATCATCATGGTCGAATTAGTTGCTTCTTGACGTTGGCCCAGATCCTCAAATGAAGGACGCCTTTAAAAGAAAAACAAAAAAAACCTTGCACGTACATGCAGTTCTTCTCTAGCGTCGATGTGTCTCTCCACACTCTTCTTACTGACAGCACCACTGCCGCTTCAAATAAATCACGTGCCGCCACGTGCTCGCTGTTCGAAAGGAAGGCTGGCTTTTAAACAAGACCAGCACCGCTTTATAGCTGTGCGCCGATCTGACTGCTGTCCTACAATACGCTCCGATGACATGTCATTTTTCCACACCACGTAGTCATCCTGTTGCTTTGCTGCAAGTATCACCGAGCAAGTTTCTCATTTCTAACTAACAAATGAATGACCTGGAAAAGAGTCAAGCATGAACCAGAGGAAAAGAGGATTTCCTCCTCTTGTGCACAAGACTGGAAAAATGGACACATTTTTTTAGTTTTGTAATCAAGAAACTGTACAATTACAATAGTTATTTACACGTTTGGTGTGCCAGTAAGGCGACCTTTGCACCGCTGCCTAATTTCATGATGCTATGCAATAATTTTAGCTTTTGTGCTTTTACTTTGCACCAATATAAACAACACCACCAGAGATAAATCTGATGCTTCCTTTGCATGCTTTTCTCTTGGAAAGCATATATGTCAAGCAAGGTGAGCATATTTCGGACCAAAAATCCCAGAAAACAAAGTTTTGTTTTTACACAACAGTGACTTTGATGCTAAGAATTGTTTAGAGACACAACCACAATGAAAATTTGCTTTTGATTGCAAAATAATGTATTTACAAATAATCACCAGTGTAACAGTTTTACATTTGACAAACGTGACAAACTATCTACACGTTATTTAGTAGTAGTATTTAGTAGTGTGTGTGTGTAAATTCAGGTCATTTTATTTTGACTTATAGTACTTAATCTTTAATAAGAACATGTCAGAGCTTGACAAATTATTTGCGTTCAAAAAGAATGTGAGCGTAACAGTCTTGCAGGAACAAATGTTTTCTGTCCTCTGTCTCTTACAACCACATCCAGGATTAACCTACTGTACAATCTTTAAGAGTGCATCGCAGAGTTAAAGAGTACACAGTCCTATTAAAGTGTTATGTCACATGCCGAGATGAGCCACCTGCGTAGTCTTTGCAAGCTGATGTGTAACTTTTATAAGAATCCAAATGAAACCGCTGTTAATAGCAGTGCTCATTGTTTAAAGACTTGCAAAAGCCTGCAAGTAAAAACTTGTGCAGCGGGCTGCTAAGAGCGGAGTAAAGCTCTGATTCCAGTCTCAGAAACAGAGTCAGCTGACGTCTATTTTGTGACGTCTTATTAAATATTGTCCTGAACATCCGTTACTATAGCTTAATATGTTCTTGTTGTCTTTGTAAACAGATATTGTATGTTTGTGTCTTTTTTTTTTTTTTCGAGTCATCAACTTTGCTCCTCTTCTGTTTCTTTCATAGTACATTAAGCTGCCAGCTCCCACAGCAGAGTCGCCCAATGCGCTTCGCGTCTTCTCCTTCTATTTATCCAGCGACTGCAAAGACCAGCCACAGGCCAGCTTCGACTGCATCCATCAATATGTTTCAAGGTACGAAGTGACTACAGATACAGGGAGCTCCCAAAGTGTTGAACGGACCCTCTGATTTGTTTGGAGTTGGGAAAGATTTTTCTATTTAAAGCACTTCCCATGTGTCTGAGGGTGTATTCACACCTGCACTATTTGGAAATATTAGCCCAGAGTGAATGTTGATCCTACAAAGTACATGATCCTTCATCTTTTGTTTAGCCACACCGCTGCCAGCATGTTTGGGTCAAAGCACGCAGAGCACGCGCTCCTCCCGCTTGACGCTGTTCCAAAATGTAGAAAAATAGCGTGGCAAAATGAATGAGCTGCTGTTGACACTCAGAATTGTTTTGCAGCTCTAATAATAACAAAAATACGCAGAATAAGAATGCAGCATGTAGTAATTGCATGTTTTCCTCCATTTGTGGGTTTGTACTTTCTGTGCCGCCCTCGTCATTTCCGTCCAATGGAAGCACCGATCATTACACGCATCATTGTGTTTGCAGGATATAGTTAACGTGCAAAAAAGTGCGATGTGAATACCAACTACACCAAATGAAAAAAAAAATAAGTCTGCTTTTGCTCCGGACCAAACAAGCGGACCAAAGTACTATTCTGGTGTGAATTCACCCTTAGTAACTCGTCTGTGACATACTTATTGCAAAATACACAGATGATTGAGAATTGTACTGCATTTTTCACACCGTATTTCTTGCTGAAATAAGCCCTGTTTCATGCAAGTAAGGGACTGTAGCCCCTGCCTCATGCACTGCTTGGGCAATGGAAACTTAGCAATGGCTGAAAATCAAAACACCCTGCATTTGGGACATATTCACCTTTTTTCCCCTTCACAATTCTTCAGCTGTCCGTGAACGTCATTGCAAGGAACTGCCAGCTCCTTTGTGCAAGATGGGATCAACTGTTTCGTGCCTGACGGCTGATCAAATAGTTTGAGTTGTTTCCTCCTGTTGCTGCACAGCAAGAGCTCCATTTCAAGTCTCGTGCTTGTCATTTTCTAATAAGATAAATGACAGTATTTTTTTCAGACCGTATTTTTACCTTTTTTTTCCCCCTCATCTCTTTTGCTTACTTTGTCCCCACAAGTGAATTGATATTTCCAAGAGAAAGGCTCGAAAGTGTGCAGTCATGCGTGCAAATGAAGCTGAACAGTGATTATGTGTGTGACGCATGACTTTTGTCCTAGAAGAGTTTTTTGCAAGGCAGACATTTGGAGCCAAGTTTGACCGAGCCAAGCTCGAAGTTTTCCACAGGCCGTATCCTGCCTCGAACCTTTTGTCTTTTTACCATGTAGCACGCCGGGCTATATCCAGTCTGTGACATAACATAGAGTAACCTCTGCCGTCTTGGCCAGCTCGCACTGCAAAGCACATTCTGTTGCCCCGAGTCGATGTTGGTATGCCGCTGTGCTCACTGGACTTTGTCTTTACGGTGTTGACAACTTAAAGCTCCTGCGGCTCAGCGGCTCTCTTTTGTGTTGTTGGTTTTGCAGTGACGGCCGCGAGCAGCTGGAAGGTCAAGGGGTCATCCAGGACAAGATCACCGTATGCGCCACCGAGGACTCCTACCAGATGACACGCGAGAGGATGTCTCAGGTAGAGAAGGATAGCTGGAGCCGTTCCGCCATCGAGATAAAACCCGGAGCCACACATCCCAGTAAGTATTCACCTCGATCGAGTGTCTCACAGCCTGAAAGTTGTGCGTTTGAGCCCCAATTTCATGGCATCCCCGTAAAAGGTCATTAACCATTTATAACTTACAATGAACCAAAAAAAAAAAAACTCAAAGTCAACTGTTTTTAATATCTTAGAACATTTTATTAGTGCGCATTTAGTCATAATTTTCACTGCTTTTCTTTTTTACTTATCAGTGATGACATTACTGTAGTCTGATTTAGATTTTCCAACATTTTTTAGCAATTGCTTGCCATGAAATTCCATTGAAGCTCGCATGCAGCATTAGAAAGAAAAAATAAAGAAAAACCACGAATTGGCCCACAATGACATTTGACCAGTGTCTGACTTTAAACTATTGTTGCAGATCCAAATATTATTGAAAGACAGTTCATTCCTGTTTTTTTTTAATAGGACCATAACTCCCAATAATGTTCTTTATGTACATGAAAAACGTTTTTTCTTTTTAATGAACGTAAAGAAACATTTTTAAAACCAACTCATGGGATTGCTCACTTGTTAACCCTCATTGACTTCCACGTGTTCATATGTTACGAATCACCAGCATCGTAAAACATATTCATCAAACTTGTCATTATGCACTTGCCAGCTTCTTTCTTCTTTTTTTATTCCTCTTCAACGCTTGCTGCAGTTACGCAAGATTGTTTCCTGGCAGCACTGTCGGACCCCCGTGTCGTGCTGAGCTCCAGACTCTTGCTTAAACTCTTTTGACCAAACTTAGCCCTTGTGAATTGTGTAACAACTGTTTTTAAGGTGAAGATGCGCATGGTAAAGCCCCCAATCGCTGTGCTCTGTATTGACCTTTTAGCTTTCGGACATGCTGTTAAAACACACATCACAAGGCGTGTCATTACCTCTAGAAGAGTCATATGGTCGACGAGCATACGTCTCACTCTTGCGTCATGTTTTGCAAAACGTGATTTATGGCTGACATTACAGATAAAATTGCAGCGCATATTTTGCGGTTGTAATTGAAGCGCATACTGTGTGACCTTCAAGGTGCAGATTAATGTGTAATAGGATTAGCGAGGCGAGATAGCTTTTACCCATGCCCTAACATGCTCGACAAGCTGTCTGCTAAAGTGATCATTTTCACTATTGCGTTTTCCGTGGGGGATCACAAAAAAAAACATTAAAGCCAAAGCAAAAAGTGAAAACATATGACAAAGTAAATATGAAGATGAAAAATACTGTATCAATTGTTTCCTAATTCGTTAATTCATTCCTAATTCCTTAGACTAGGAGTGTTCAAATGTTGATTTCTGTTTAATTGAACAAGCCTGTGCATTGTAATTGCAGCCGTAGAGTTACTCATAAAGCTCATTATCGCGCAGTATATCCACTTGTGACTAAGCAGGCTGCTGTGTACCGTGCGCTCAGGTAAAAGCGTCAAGATCCATAAGAGGCCGCCCATCGCGTCCGCATCAGACAGCAGCTTCTGCAAACCTCCTGCGCCCAGCCGATGGAGCGGCAGCATGGCCTCGCTCCACCAGAAGCCCCTCAAGGAGCGCATCATTCATCTGCTGGCTCTCAAGTCCTACAGGAAGCCGGAGCTCCTGCTGTGGTTGGAGAGGGAACGGGTTGGTCCCAAGGACAAGACGGAGCTCGGAGCCATATTGGAAGAGGTATGAGGAAGCGCATATACTCGTTGGACACTACATACAGGTATTCGAATTTGTTGTTTGTAATGATCCACAAGATACATATTTCAACAAATATGGCCACGAGTCGTAATTTACTCGTCTGCAGATGGGGGAGGTGGGAGATTTTTTTTTTTGGTGGGTAGGCCATTATTTGTTGACATAATTTAATAAATGTTACTAGGGTTGCACAATCACAGTTTTCTGGCCGATCACCAATCTTTAAAAAGCCTAACTTGCCCGATTTTTTGCCTATCAGACACCTTAAATGTTCCATTCTTGTTTTATTGTAGAACATTGAACGATATCTGTGAAACCATATAAAGGCGGCTGTTTAAACGGCATGTAATTGTTCACAGCGGAAAAGGGCAAAGACCGACTTTTTCAGCCTGCTGCGCAAGGAGATAAGATCAGTGGACAAGATTGGTTTTATTTTCAGGGATCGGCCAATCGCCGATCCCACAAAATGAAGGAAATCGACTCTGGTACCGATCTCGGCCAATCGATTGGTGGAGCCCTAATTTTCACAATAGTATTAAAATGTATGTCCATTCAAACTGGAGGTTAAACCAAGACAGAAAGAACAAAGATGGAGAAATACAAAAAGCCTTAAGAATTGAGGCAGACGAGGTGCAACAAAAGAGAAATTATGGGATGCATCCGTGTTTTTTGCACACACTTATGTTCCCCTGCGTGTAATTGGGTCAGTGCTGTACTTATCTCTGCAGCCGTGTTTGTTTTGGGGACGGGATGTCTGCAGCCTGCAAAAGCTCATTTACGGTAAACTTCAGACACAGAGAGTCTCACCCCATTAGAGACAAGATTGAAATCTGCAAGAGGAAGAAGTTTGGAAGTTACTCATTACAATCATTAGAACAAGAATATCGCTTAAGACAACAGTAGACGAGTGTGGGATACAAAAATAGAAGGATGAGATGGAAATGGAGACAGACTTGTTATTTTTAATGGTATAAAACCAGAAAACTGTAAAGTTTTGCGTGACTGTTTTTTTCAGGTGGCAAAAGTGAACCCTAAAGATAGCAGCTACCTCCTGAAAGAGGACTTCTACAAGTACGTGCGGAGGGACTGGCCTGGCTATAGCGAGGAGGAGCGACAGCTCGTGAACAGGTTGTTGTCAAGGTGTGTTTGATTGACAGCTATGGAGTCTCTGTTAGTACAATATACACAACAAAAGACATTTCTGTTTGATGTGTGGAAAAGCGAATTGGGGCCGTTTCACGGGATCTATCTATTTTCAGGAAGTTGCCGCCTCACGTGCACGGCCATTGGAGGAATCCTCAAGCCAATGAATCAATCGTGAAACCATCCGAGGACAGAATGCTGATGCATCACAGCCTGACAAAGAACCCGGTAGTGGTGAGTCATTAAACCTTATTCAACGTTTGCTAGATTGCCTGAATAATGCGTCTCTCTCGTTCTTGCAGAAACGCCCCGTGCCTACAGACAGTCTCCTAGCTCTGGCCGCAAAGAGACAAAGACAAATTGATCAGAGGACACAACCGCAGCCATTTATGAACGGACTCTTAAACAATAAGGGAGCACCTATCACTGATCCTCTTACTTTCCACACTAAACCTGACTTCCAAGGGACGAATAACACCATAGGGAGCAACGTTAGCGACCACCAGCACGGTTCTCCTGGAGAGCATAAAATGTTGAGCACCCCCAACGTATCGGAGACCGATCAGCACAAAACCAAAGCGCTGTGCCGCGACCCACCTCGGGCAGACTTGGAATGCCCTCAACAACAGAGGAAGAAAAAATCCAAAAAGCATAAAGACAAGGAGCGGGAAAGATTGAAAGACCACCAGGACAAAAAGTGGTCAGAGGGGAGTCCAGATCTCAAGCATGAGCAGGACAAACTTGAGAGTAAGGTTCTTTTATTTTATTTATTTATTTATTTATTTTAAACAAAAAAAGTAGTTTCCTAAATTTCAAACTCGTTGGTCGCAACATTAACTACATCCGCATAATCTAGCCATGAGATCCAAAGCAAGAGCTGGACACAACATAATTAAGCTCAAATTTGTACTTTTCGAAAGGGGCCACTGCTCCCTCTACGCAGAGTATGCACATTGCCAAGCTTTTTAGCGTTTAATACGACTGGAACGTGACACCCAGAGGTTGAGGATCCATATTGGAATTCGCTACATCAAAGGGTGCGAGGGGCTGGTCAATGCTGCTTGCAGCTTTATTTTCATTTATTCTTTATGATTTGGAAATGCACCGCACCATACGTTTCTCTTGTTCACACGGCTACAAAACCCATCTCTGCTGCAAATTACGAGCACAATAATAAACAGACTCTTGGTCATATGTCAGTTGAGGATTATGCAAAAGATGCACTAGCGTGCAAAATTGTAGTGTCATGTTATGCAAACTCTTCTAATTACCACAACAACTGAAAATAAGACACAAATCAAGAAAATTGCAATGACGCCTTTCTGTATTATGAAGCGATTCCACCAACTAATGTGCCAAAATGTGGATGAGTGCAGTGCAGTCTGAATGCAGGACATTCTTTTTCACTGCGTCAATAAAATAGAATTTTGCATCTTCGAGTATATGACATTTGGGCACTGTTCAGTGTATATTCTTCTCCATCCATCACAAAATAGCAATTTCACCACACCACTGTGGTCTCTAATCTCCCAGTGCACTTAGACAGCCTAATCTCTTAAGAATGGGTGTGTTTGCACCCCTAAACTCTCTCTGTCTCGCTCTCTGGAGTGTTGGGCCTGTTATGTTCCTGACTCACTCGGCAACAGTTCTTTGGCTCCCTAAAGTGACACCTCCCCTGATGCCTCACCTGTGTGCTCGTCTGCGGCTTCGAATGGACATTTTTAAGTGTTAGGCACTGTGGGTTACTTTACTGTCTCATGTTGTTCATATCTTAATCTCTTGTGTGTTGTGTGTGTGTGTCTGTTTTAGATTGCGACATCACTAATGGCTTGGATTTGGCAGAGAAACCGGACTATGTGAAGTAAGTGTGAACATGATTTTTCTTGTGATTTCGCATATTTTACAATATTTTACTGGAACCTGCAAAATCCAGATCCATATTTCTACTGATAGTCAACTACAAATGGGGTGAGGTGTCGATAGCTGAGAGGCCTTTTTGTACGAATAATTTTTTTATGTTAAACTAGGGCAGCACAGTGGTCGACTGGTTCGCACGTCGACCTCACAGTACAAGAGGCGCAGGGTTCGATTCTGGCTTCAGCCTTCCCATGTTCTCCCTGTGCCTGCCTGGGTTTTCTCCGGGTACTCCGGTTTCCTTCCACGTTCCAAAAACATGCATGGCAGGTTAATGGGACACTCAAAATTATCCCTCGGTGTGAGTGTGAGCGTGGAGGGTTGATTGTCTCTGTGTGCCCTGCGATTGGCTGGCAACCAGTTCAGCGTGTGCCCAGCCTACTGCTCGAAGACAGCTGGGATAGGCTGCAACGCCCTCACCACCATCGATAGTTTCAAATAATGGATGGATGGCTTTGAAAGAAATATCTGTCAGCTGCTGCCATCTTGTGCCAGAAAATGGAGTTGCAGCGTCCAGAAATTAAAAAGTTACAAATGAACAGCTTTTAGTGGTATTAATCCGAACAGCATGTCATGGCATTCTGTGATAATTTCCCCAATTTTATGATTATTGGCATACACTAAATTGGGTGTCCATTTGCAGCATGTATGTCAGGATCACAAGCGTGGAGCAGCGTCAACGCTACCAGGAGGATTTCAGCGCCGAGTACGACGAGTACAAAGACCTGCACACCCGAATCGCTACCATCACTCACATGTTTGTTCAGCTCGCATCCAAGATCAAGAGCATGTCACCCGGGACGAAAGAACACAAGGTGCGTCCTCTTCGAAAATTGGACTTCCAGTGCTACACAGCAGTGGGTGTTGAAGAGTTTCTTGCTGCGATATTTACATGATGTTTTACTTTTAATAGGTAATGGAAGATCAAATTTTAGAAAAATACAACAAGTATCGAAAGGTAAGAAGCCTTATCTATAGGGTTTCGTTATTTATTTGTCATTATTATCCGTATTATTAAAACAGATTCCATATTTCCATGCATAGTGCCTTTTTAGTGTATAATGAGGCATTTATTGAGGGAGACCTTCATTGATTAAAATGATGTCAATTAAAAAATAGATATTTTCCCTGAATATTGAATTAAAGTGAGATGTTTTTGTCTTATGTTTTATTTTAAATATATACATGTTTTTAGATGACGTTGGTCATCTTGTTGGAATGTTTAGTATATTTTGCTCAGGAATGTTTTGAACTTTATTCAGCAGCCCTTTTTACTCCCCTGTAGACTTTAACTTTATAGATGCCTTGTAAAAGTAATTACAGTCACATACTGGTATCGCCTGTTTTTTTTTCTACCAGCGTGGAGATAAAAGGCATCTAGTTGAGGTGTGGTGCTTATTATTAATTGGGGTGCGGCATCTTTTAGACCGTAGTATCTGAGGAAATACTGTAGGTTATTTTTGGTCGAAACATGAAGGTCACCAACCCTTTTAAAACTGAGAGCCTTGTACTGTACTGATTCATGTGTGGGGCTACTAGTTTACACACCGACTAATCATATTCATTTATCTCTTACAATAATCGGGAAATGGTTAAATAACCTCTGCAATGTTTTATTTCTATCAATCTCCACCATTGTTTGCACATACAACTTCAAACGGTCACTTCTGCCACATTCCTAGAAACTCACATTGTGCCATTACTGGTGAGCTATTTTTAGAACAGGCCCACGGGTTTCTCATGTGGTCCTTGGGGACTAACTGGTGGCACTGGGTCTCACATTTCTTAATACACTTCAATAATATGTTGATCTGTTTTTGTAATTGGCACAAATAAATATGTTGTTGTCAAACGTTTAAAAAAAAAAATGCCATCGATGCTTCAATGTCACACCCAATCTAATCCAGATCTGATCAAAAGTCCTTCATACTTATTGTCATGTAAGATGTTGAGATATTTCTGTCCTGAAAGATGCACAGTTATGACGTGAGTTGACTCTGTCCACAGAAATTTCCAGACTACCAGGAAGAGAAGAAGCGCTGTGAATATCTGCATCAGAAACTCTCGTTTATCAAGCAGCTCATCGAGGACTACGACGTCTCTCGGACCTCCTCGTAGCGTCGGCTCTCCCTTCACATTGGATTCAGTTCATCGGGGAGATTTTTTTCACGAACAACATCTGGTCCACAAGTGATGGAAAGGTTTTTCGAAGAGCAGATTTTTTTTTTTTTTTTTTAACGTTGAATACCCCCCCCCCCAATAAAAAAAAAAAAAAAAAAAAACGGTCCAAGGAGAGAGACGTTAAACTCGGCAAAATCATCTTGGTTCATCCACCAGAATCATTGGAAGCCATGTTCATGGAAATCCGAAGAGCCTGTTGAACTCATCAGTACACATCCGAGTTGCCTCCTTTCAAGTGTTCCAAGAAAGCCTTCTGGTCTGCGGCTTAGCTAGTGCCTCTTTTCGTTTTTTTCTGCCATAGCATTGACATTTTGACGTTTTCTTTTTTTGGGGGATGACATACTAAACCTAAATATTATATTTGTATAGTTACGAACCCTTCTTCATTAACTCTACTGTTTAATTGCAGCTCATTTTCATTTAGGATATCCTCCGAAATTCACTTAAATCGAGGGTGGTGGAACGTTTTCTTGTCAGTTTTGTATAAAGTCCTCCACCCTAAATTTATCGAAAATATATGATGCAATGATCAAACAAATGCTTCTAATTGTTATGTGCATCTGCGGATTCAGTGTCTCTTTATAACTGCCCTCTGTGTCACACCGCGGTGAGGGTTGTTTGTCGGGTCACTCTTCTTTTATTTTGAAAGAATGACTCTTCTCTTGTTTCAGGTCCCCCCCCCCCCCACCCCCATCAGCCCTGCTCTGAAGGTTTCCACCTGTTGCCACTTACCTTGTGTTTAAATGGTCCCTTATCTCCCTTTGTCCTGTGCCAGTGTGTTTCGTCCTTGTGCGCGCACTCCAGCCTCTCGCCACAGATTTGACCAGTTCTTGCCTTGTTTCCACAGCCTTGCCGTTTTGAGTTGTCAGTCGCAGATCCTCAAATATATCTTTGTACTTTGAACCCTGCTACTGTGTCCTGTGTCCAAGCCTGGTTCTGACACTCTTGAGGTTTTAGTTGTTTTTAGAAGGGAATGGAAGGACAGATTAAATCCTATCGCCGGCCCTCAGATTCCCAACCCTAAATTAGTAGTATTTATTGAGTGCAGTCTTTCACTTCCTCACATAATTGACTACTGGTGGAATATATCGGGCGGCATGATTAGACTTCCGCCTAATACAGTGATGTGGAACAAAGTAATTTTCTCGGAACTGCTGATGTATTTATTTTAAGACGGCCCTCTTCTGTCCTCTATTGCGGGCCTTGTAGATTACAGGTCACATGATGTTATCGAAGCACTCAGACAGGGAGCTAAATAACCTTTTCGCCTTATGTAACTCAAAGTGTCTCTTTTACATTGCCCATGGAAGCCAGCATTCACCCCGGGGGTCATTGTTATATACAAACAGCATTACAACGGAATGGGGGGTATGAATTCTCCTTTCAGAGCACCTGCGTGTGGAATAATTCTGTTACCACCCTGTTGTTTGGAAAGCCATCGTCTGAGTATTTCACACAGTATATCAGACCAAATTGTCTTAGACAAGGACATTGTGAATATTGTGGAAAATGTCATTTATCTCAATAATTTAAAAAAGAAAGTCTAATATCATACAGGAACTAAAACTCAAAATGTACGTTTATATACGAATTCTTGAGGTTTTATTGGCAATGGTTGGGTATTTGGGCATTTGCTCAGAATTGAACCTGCGTCCTCTGCTCAAAAGACATGTAGGCTACCACTACAGCACCAGAAAATTGCTGTTCTGTATAACAGCACAAAAATGATGGTGCAAAGTCAATCCACTAATTTTCAGACCTCTGAGGTGATATTGAAGCTATACCAGGTAGGGTTGTTTAGAACTTGCCCTCCTGTCCTTTTGTGTTGAAAGTAATTGCCGCTATCTGACATTGGCATATGGCCACAAGTGCTTTGAGCTTCACGCAAAAATACTGTTACTACTGTAGATGATGTCATCTCTCAGGTCAACTTTGATGCCCCTGCCTCGCCATTTCTGACATTTTCTTAAATACAGATGTACTGCTTGATTTATGGCTCTGATACTACTCCTGAAGGTGGAAATTTTACGTGACTTTGTCCTATACATGGGATGACGGGAGAACAAAATAACGGGTTTTCCTAGCAGTGTGAAAGGCGCTCGTGATGTGACATTGGCCTCTCCAAGGGAGCACACCATACATTTTGAGGGTGTTCTCTTATTTACATTATAGGGACAAAAAAACAACATTCCACAACCAGAATAGTGGAACTTTTGGCAGGCTACAAAGCATGATGGTACCATAGTTAACAGTTAATGTATGAAATTAAAATGAATAAAGTCACATATTAACTGTAAGTCCAAACTTGTGAGCACATACAATGACTGAAGGGATCAAAATAAGATGGTTGGTTCAGGGAACAATGAAGCTCTATTGGCAAACAAAATAAAAGTAAGCACTTGCTACATGTTCTGATACTTGTTGGTCTTTCATATACAGTAATCGCCTCCCAGGAATTAGCCTTACGCTGCAACCTTGTGACATTGTGACATTTTCTGGAACAGTTGTCTTCATAAGGGTCGCGGTTGGGTTGGGACCTATACCCAAACTTGACTTTGTCTAAGAGGCAGGGTAACGTCCTGGACTGAATACCAGTCAATCACAAAGCAAGGGTAGTCGTGAAACTACGTAATTAATCTATTCCACAGTAAAATAATAGCTGGCTTTGTTTGGAAAATGTCAGACATAGGTATATGATAAGAACTTATTTTAAATGTAGGTAGACACTAGTTTTTGTAATAAACATAGTTTAAGCATGCTAATTCAAGTGGTGTTTCTAGCCAGGTTTATGGTTTCAAAATAATATTTTAAAGGTAAATATACTTCTGATGGTGCCCTGCCAAAAACAGCTCTTTTTTTGGCACTCGTTACACGAAACACTAGTGGCAGGTGAGTGCATCTGACCTCTTGCTTGCTTCCGCTCTCTCACCCCTCGACAACATTACGAAACTACAGTACGTCGTTTCCATGGAAACGCTGTTGTCAAGACGACAAGGACGCGAGCACACAAAATCTTAGTTCAATTCTAATTTGTTTAGAAGTTCTTCAAGCGTCGTCTCAATTCGCAGGCGACCGTTTTCAATTCTACACTTTAATAATCTGTTTTAAAAGGACACCACAAATTGGTAAGTAAACAAGCGGTTCATTAAAACCAGCGAGCGTAGCAATAAATGGCGTTATGCTACGTACTTATGTTTAGCTTCATGTTTTCAACAGTTGGCATTAGCTAACGCAACTTTACAGGTATGGAAGTTTTAAATTCCTTTGACTTGACTGGAATAACTTCAAGGCATATGTGAGTTGTATGGCTTTTCTTTATTAGGGTTGTCCATGTATAACAGAAAAGGTTCAACAGAGTCAGAAATGACGGCTGCTGCCAGTGCGAGGAAATTCATAAAGAAACCAGCCACGTACCACTTGACCATTGCCACACAGGTAAGGACTTTCAATTGCCTTCTTTTCCTACTGCTAATAGTACACGGTAGTTAATTTTTATCGTATACGGGTCTCGGGTTAAGACATACAGTTACTACATTTTGAGTATGGATGGGCGAGTACCGATACAAAATACTGATACAGGTATTGGACCGATACCAGTCTTTTTTACTGGCTGTTTTACTGTCAAGAAGTCACGGTTTGTTTAAAAAAAAATGTAAACAAAAAACAGTTAAATATTTACTCAAATTCAACTGCTAATAACACCAATACATACATAGTACAACTTTATCAATTAATGTATTGCGTCACACAATGCATTCTAGTAACCTGCTGCATGTTGTGTAGACCTCTACCCTGACACACGAACAAGAGACATCCATTTCAGTCTGGCATTTATTTTTTCGAGTGGAGGATGCAACATGTCAAAGAAATGGAACGACAGTATGGGGCGGGGCGTCTATTTTGAAATTAAATATGTTCTCAGAACTACATTTCTTCTCGTGTTTTCACTTATTTCTCTGTCCAACTTGTTTTTACCGTTATCTGTGTCATCCTGCAGCTTCCAGAGAACACCAATTGCCTGGCCTCTTCAGATGACGGCACATACCTTAGCCTGGGTCACTCTGGCGGCTTTTCTGTGTGGCATGCGAGTAGTCTGAGCAGTGAGTCCGAGTGGCTGCAAGACAGACTCGAGATTACTTCCATTCACATGACCCGCACCAGTGAAACTGTCTATTTGCTCGGCACGATTGACGATATGGGTTGGTCCTATGCACTCGGCCGTCCTGTGTCATTTGAGGAGATTTAAACAGCACATTCTGCATGTCATCATTTGTGTGTAATCTACATCTTCCATGGCAATGAAAGTTAAATTGTGAAAACGGTGTCTCCTCAGGTGTTGCCAGAGTCTTCGTGTATAACTTAGAAGGCATTTATCCCTTTAGTGTTATTAACTTGCTGGTGAGTTTTGGGAAAACAGTGCTGTTGTTGCATTCATACGGAATGCGTACAGTATTTGATTCACTTTTGTTTCCTTTTTTCAGGATGATATAAACAAGAGAAGTGTTTGCTTGTCCTTTGAAATATCTAAAGGAGGCGAACATGGCGCTATAATAATGAGGTGTAAGTTGGGTTCTTTACATTTTACCATTTTCAACAATTTTGTTTTTGTAGTTGTAATTCAGACTTCATATTTGAACATAACATTCAATATCTCATTTCAGGCAATAGTGAAATTTGGCTCGAAATCTATTACTTTCCCATCCAGGACTGGCTGAGAGAGTTAAAGGTAGTATAGTCTAGTTTGTTCTTGTAAATACAGTACTATTTAGTGTACCAAACGTATTATCAAAACTCTTTCAACATATTATGTAGTGTATCGTAGAACATGATATACCGTGTGGAAAAAACATTTGCTCTCTTCTCAAAATCATACATTTTTTGCATAGTTTCCCCACTTCAATGTACAGTGGACCCCCGGATACTCACAGTTCGGCACCAGCGGACTTGCATATTTGAAGTTTTTAAGTTTTTTTTTTTTCCCCCATAATACCGATATTTTTTATTTTTCCCGATTTGCCCCCCGTTTTTTTTTTTTCTTCGCTGAATTTTTGGGGTTGAAAAAAAAATTCCCCCCTATCATTCTTTTCACTCTTCAAAGTTGTCCCTATCCCCCATGAATAGCAGGGGTCCACTGTGCTGTGTATTATATGGCCTTGGACATGTATACTTAATGTTTTTAAATGAAATATGGACCAATTTGAATCGTGATTGCGTTTTTTACAGGATCCCAAAATTTCAGCGAACATGAAATGGTCGCCTGCTGTTCGTGTCAATAGAGTCAATCCATCAACAGGTATTATTATCTAAAAAAAAAAAAAAAAACACAATCCAATCGAGAATGCAGAAAATAACATCACATGCTTTTGTTGATTAGCTGCAACCGCGACAGAGTTCACCACCATCTTGTCTCACTTCTTAGTTTTGGATGAAACGAGCGAGCCGCCGAGGTAAAACAAAAGCTTGCACAGGAGGCTGAGACTGTCTGTTGCTAATTGGGCTGCGTCTTTTCCAGACAATGCACTCCACACTTTCTTCTGCGCTGTGGTCAAAATTGTGAAAAGAATAAAGCAAAGCCAGGTTTGTATCGGAGAAGTGTGACACCGTTACTGGCATCGTGCTACCTTTCAAACTATCTCGTGCATTTGCAAGACCAAAACTACATTGCGCGATCTTATGCTATATACATCAAGACTGTACATTTACAATACTGGACTACTGTGAACTTAAACCAAATGAAGGGCCGTGCAAAATTCTATTCCAGTTACAATTATTACACTCAACGATTACAAAATTAACATAATGGTAAAAAAAACGATTATTATGCGCATGTAATATTGTACAATGTCTAATACTATAGTGAGCATACTTGAGTTAATCATTTGCACTTGATAGATGCATTGAAATTGTTTATTTAAATGTCACGCCAGTCAATTTACAAGTGTATGGCAAGTAAACTCCATTTTACATTTTAATGTTTTCTTACAAAAAATAAAAAATAAATAAGCGATCAACTGAATAATCGTGATTTCAGTTATTTCCAGGAAATATCCTTGCTAACATTCCCTCCCATCTTATAGGATCCCCGCACGCTGTTTGTTTTTGGTGGAACGGAAGTTACAATCTTCTCTACCTGACACTATCCAAAACTCCAAAGGCCAAACAAGGTCAATGAAGATATAATACAGCTCGAGATTCAGCATCCATACAAAAGCTGAAGTGCTGCATCACGAACATGTTTGACCTCTTCTGTTGCAGAGCAGATCCTGAACCGTCCCCATTGGTGCTGTGGCCCAACGCAGCTGAAATCATCTGCTCCGCCGTCAGTCGATGCACTCGTTTCATTGCGCTTGGCCTCAGCAATGATTTGCTGTGTGTCTGGGACAGGCTGTCTGGTGAGTATGTCCATCATCAATAATCAAATTGATAGTTTCATTTAAAAAAAAAAAAAAAATCATGTAGGAATTCAAAGTGATTTTTATCTTTGCCATTGCTAGTACATGATTGCTTGTGCTTGTGACACATCTGTGAAAGACATTTTGTCTTGCCTACACAGGGGACATGTCCCAGAAAAGATAAGAGTCAATAGAGGAGATGATTGAAAAGATTGGTACAAGGAATTCTGTGACTCCTGCCAGGTCCCCTTTGTTCCTTTGAGTCACAAGCTCAGCAGGAGTGCTATTCGCTTTGTCAAACCACTCGCTGCATGCTTGTTAGCGTGCTACAAAACACCCCACCCCATGCACGCTGTGGCGTCAAAACATCCATCCATCCATTTTCAACACCACTTATCCAGAACAGGGTCGGGGGGGGGGGGGGGGGGGGGGGGGGGTAGCTGGAAACTGTCCCAGCTCACTTGGGGCGGAAGGCAGACGACACCTTGAACGGGTTGCCAGTGAGTCACAGGGCACATATTAAGGCGAAAAATCATTCACACCCACATCCACACCGTCGCTGAGCACGAACTGATCCCATGGTGCTCGTACACAAGTCAGGCGAGTGTACCACTACACCACTACTGCGACTTGGCATCACAACATCAGTCTTAAATTATAGCGTAGAGATATGCATTGAATCACTTAAATTCACAATCCATACACTATGTGCTCTAGAACCAGGCGCTACATCCTTAAAATTATTATTTTTCCAAAATGTACGATTTCTGATGTAATCGTTTTTTTCCCTTGGCTTACAGAAATGACATAATTACTATTATTTTTCTTTTTTCTTCCATCCATCCATCCATCCATCCATTTTCCAATCCGCTTTATCCTCACAAGGGTCACGGGGGGTGCTGGAGCCTATCCCACCTGTCTTCGGGCAGTAGGCGGGGGACAACCTGAACCGGTTGCCAGGCAATCGCAGGGCACACGGAGACGAACAACCATCCACGCTCACAGTCACACTTTGGGACAATTTGGAGTGTTCAATCAGCCTGCCATGCATGTTTTTGAAATGTGGGAGGAAACCGGAGTACCCGGAGAAAACCCATGCAGGCCTGGGGAGAACATGCAATGGTCTCCCCCACCACCCCAATCCATAATGTCCATTCATCTGATTTTCCTTTGTGCTCATATATGGTCCCCAATTTGCTGTTATTATTTTACCTCAGGTTACCTCAGGAAAAAATTCCGCTTGGAAGCACGTACCTCGGATTAAAACCTTCCAACGTGTCGATAAATTTACAACATGTAAATGGGCACCAAATGGCTTTGATGATGTGTCCCTAAATTTCTTCCCACCATTAAAAATATACATATATTGAAACCTCAAAAACAAACATTTAATATGTGAGGATAAGCGTTTCGGAAAATGGATGGATAGATGTTAAGCTCTTCGATTTGATCTCATGAGGTGAGGCCGTTGTACCTAATGAAGCATCTGTTGAGTGCGCATTAGACTCCCATGTGCACACTTTTTGATTAAGAGTAAGAAGCATGAGCTCCAAATTTCACTTTAGTGGCTAAGGTAAACAAAAATAGAGCGTGGTTATGCGAGCCAGCTGCTGTGACATCTGAAAGAAGCCCCCCGCAGCTCTGGTACGCAGCTGCACATTTTATGATAGCGTGACCCAATGAAAGATATATTTAGCATTCCCCCCTCTGAGGAACTCAGCCAAAACACTATAATGAGGCTACATCAGTCCGTGGAAAGATAAGCGTTTGATTGACTGCCAAGGTAACAGACATTTGTCGGCTTATTAATGCCTTCAATTTAGCTATGAGGCCGTGTGATTGTGACTTCCGCATATTTCTCTCCCTCAGGCTCTCCGTTGTCCATCTCCGGAGTCTCAACAGACAGTGCCTTCCTCAGGCTGCAATTTGTGGATTACTGGCCTGCGTGCCCCGATAATACCCAGGCTTTAATCGCGGGTGAAATCCACCTTGTGACGCTTTGCGAGAGCGGAGCCGTTCACGTCATAAGCACGGGCCGAGGAGCAGCAACCCGCACTGAGCAGCTCTCTCCAAGGTTCCCGAGGCTCTTTGCTATTTCTACATTGAAGATAAGATAAGATAAGAACACCTTTATTTGTCTCATAATAGAGAAATTCCCAATTCACAGCACCAAAGTTATGAAAAGAAGAAGTAGAAGAACAAAATATAGGAGCTGCTGTAAAGGCAGCCACTCTCGCGGCGCCAGCTTGAAGTCATAATACATTGAATACATTGAACCCGCATTTATTGCAGATGATCTGCGCCACACGCACCCTGAAAAGGTGAAAATGTGCAAAATCTCAGTGAGCTTTCCTGCTGACTAAGGCGTTTTTTTTTTTTTAATCACGCGCCCCCCAGCACACCCGTTGTCATACATTGATGCCCACCCAAACAAGAGTTTGTAATTGCCGATAGATTCCACAAGGTGTTGGCAAAGCACTACTTATGTCTAAATGAATCAAATATGCGGGGGGTTTACTGTACACACACATTTCTGATTCAAATAAATTCTCATCACTTATTTCACTTGCAGGCCAAAAGACTGTGGCGACCTGCCGACCGTTATTGCATCAGTGTCCTTCCTTCAGGGCCTGGTAGGGAAAACACTTTATTGAAAGCGTAAATGATGAATCAAGCTGTTGCCAAACCTGTTTTTGTTCTCTTTTGCGTTTCTGGGAAAAGTCACTGGTGGTGCGCCGAAATGGGAAAATGTTCCTGCAAGATGTCGTCAACACAGCCACGGTGTGCGTCTTGAGCCTTCCTGCTCATCATCAGCTGGCTACCCCCTGCAATCCCATCTATTCTCTGAATGTCAATCAGCGAATTCTCTTCATACGAGGTACAGAAAAAAAAAAAAAGGCGAACTCCTGGGGGCATTTATTCACGAGCTCTCTACTCTCTACAAGTAGAGAGCTTGGCAGTTATATGAAAGATGAAATGAGGAGGCGCGGAGGCCTTTTTGTACAAATACTGGAGAATTGTTACTTCCAAGTTCGAATAGAAGTGGATTGTGTAATGGCCTCACATTCCATTTATGTTTTCGTATTTTCATAGGTGCCTAACGAACTTTTTCAATGATGTACTCATTTATTGAGATGCGCTTATTCGGGGGAAATTATACACACTATTGTCCCCTCTAGCTGACCAGCAGCCTATCCCTGGCACTTCCTCCCTCGACGACCATCATCAGAGTCAACTACTCATGCTGCGTTTTGATGAGCATGACGCCATCAAGCCGTATATTGTTTCATATCCAGAATCTCCGTGGCAACAAAAAACAAGCGTAGTGACCGGAGAGGATGCCTGCAACTTGTATCTCCAGCAAAGGTTTGCAAAATTTTACCTCATTGCCTTTTCCCGCCTTTTACGTGTTTGCTATTACTTTGGAACGTTTTGTTAAGCTGTAATTACTCAATGATATTTCTATGTGCACTTGAATATTTGACATTCATTTCATTTGCAGAGCGCTGTCAATGGATGAGAGGCACAAAGCTATAACGCAGACTTGGAAGCGACTGCGGTGTGCCACCACCACATAAAAGCGTAATGGACAGCAAGTCATTTCTATTTTACTCAGATGTGACATTTTCATGGGAACCAGACATATAGTTGTAACTTTGACTTACTAATTGAATTGCTTCCAGGACCAAGCTTGCAACTCAATTTACTTCTTCTGTATAGCAAATCCATTTTTCCCCCCTTCAAATGAACTGTCATGCCATTAATCTGTTCCAGCCCATATTTCTTTTAAGATAGCTCTGGTTTATAAGACATAAATACAAAAACATTAAAAAAAAAAGAGTATGTAGAGCAATACACTGTTCAATAAAACTGAAAATCATAAACACACACACATGCTGTAGTATTCATATGTTGATGTGTGCCTTTAAGTTGGCGCGGTTTACTGGGGTGTGTCCCAAGCTCTCAGTCCAGCTCGGGTTGGCCATCTAACATAAGGTTAGTTCCATTTTAAATGATTCAGCACAGTGGCATGTCAATGAATGTGTGTCTGTGTTCTGGTTCAATGGCACATTGTTCCAACAAGGTCTCTGTTGGAAAATCGAACTCTCATTTCAATCCAAGCAGTTTTTTTTTTCATTGAGGGTGATACCTCAGCTTCAGAGATTTATTCATTATTCGTATACGTCCGTGGTTCATTCGTTGTATGAGACTACAAGGTAATGGGATCAGATATGGATTTTTCATTTGTGCTCAAAAACCAAGTATGTATTTGGAGAGGTATACAGTTGTTGTTGCCAAAGATCTGCAAAGTCATTGAGAAGGTAATGAAAGGTGCCCGAGTCAAAAATATTGCACCTCTGTCACCTTTGCCAGCAGTTTGCTCGTAAACACACTGCGGTTGTTGCATTACTCATTTCCAGTCAACAGTTTGACCTTTTATGCTTATTAAAATAAAAAATGAAAATGGTTGGGGTCAAATGACTATTTTTGGGGTGAAGGTTTAACATTGCTAATTATTCATGACCTCAGCTTTAAATAAGAAAAACTCTGTGTTAATAAGTGGAAGTCAGCATAATGTATGGATCATAATAACGGATAAATTTCTCTCACGCATGACAATCATTTTGTCCCATACAAGAATATTTCATGAAAGCCCCCTGACCTTGACTTCCTATCAACTCCATAAGACATCCCCCAATATGTTTGGAAAATGCACTTCAATTTTAAATATAGTGTTTAACACATGGAATCGTATGCACTCTACGGCTACGGGGTTAGAATATTTTTTTCATGCAGATGTGATCGTAGTCCTCTTCTAATTTAGGATCAAGCTGTGTTCCATTATAGCTTCTCTGTGTACATTCTAATTCAGGGGGAAAACATGGCCTTTGTCATTTGGCCATTGACTCAGCCCTGATAAAAGGCAGCCATCCCCTTGAGGAGTCATTAGAGTTGAGTCGCTGTGTATGGAGCGCGTTGACATCACGCAGAGGATCCGTACAGCGCTTCCTCATAAAGTGTGCTTGTTTTGTACCCGTAAGGGACAGCTAAGTCACATGGAATACTTTTAATCAAGAATACCACGACATACATTTGGCGGGCAAACCTTTTTAACCAGCTTTTGAAAGCAGCATGGTTAAGTTTGTTCATTCCTGCAATGTGGCTGGTTTGCTCAACTCAGCCCTTTTGAATATTTGGAAATTCAAAACATAGTCTAGGGCTTTTTTTAAATGAGTTTTTGTATATTTTCTTTTAATGTCTTGCCTTGTTTTACCTAGACAGTTTGTTTTCCAAATAAATGTTTTTTAATGTAAATACTATTGACAAATTTTGAAACTATACTTTTTGAACACATATGTTAATAATTCCATTTTACTGGTCCCCTTTACTTGTGCCATTACTTTTGTCCTTTTTTTTAACCCCCAGAAACAATGTCTTTTTGTATGATTTTAATTTAAAACAGCCTCATATTGAGGTCTCTAAATATGGTACACCACTGTACACACAGATATAATATGATGCTAACGTATTGGGAGGCCTTGCTTTTGCACAGAAAGTGAAAATGCAATTTTTATCTATTCATTGAGAATATACAGAATCCCCCAAAGGTGTTTGATGGGCTTCTTCCACACCAACCTCAACCAACCATGCCTTTATGGATTTTGCTTTGTGTGTTGCATTCGTCAATATCGCGTACATGTGAACTTTTGTGTGAAAACACAAATACAAATGCCATGCAACCAAATTGTTCCATTTGTATTCCCTTCAGATGATGCTCTCCGGTTCTCCGTGTACAGGTCTCTGTGCAATGTTGCCTGTTGTCTGAAAGCAGCTTCCTGGCAGCCCGCTGTCATTATCGCTGCACATTGGGGACCTCTCGTGGCTACCGGGACTGGCCTTCCGTTTTAGCAGAACGGCATTGTCTGCGCCAGCAAAAGATCCGGTTATAACCGTGTTGGCGTCCGTGTCCCTGGTAGCTCGCGAGCTGCGGTGGAACCTGCGGAAGCGAATGGTGAAGAGGCCATAAATGAGCGGGTCCAGGCAGGCGTTGACTAGGCCGAAGATGAACAGGAGATGGGTGAGCGAATGGGAGACCTTCCCTTCCAGGTCATCAGGGAAGAACCAGTACCAGAGCCCCAGCAGGTAGTAGGGAGTCCAGCAGATGATGAAGGACAACACGATCACGATGCTCATTTTTAGAGTCCTCATGCGAGCTCTGGGGATGTTGTTCTTGGAGCAGCGTAAATGTACTTCAGTGGAGGAAACTACAAGAAGAATAAATAAAGGTGATCCACGCACTGTGTATATATACACACACACACACACACACACACACACACACATATATATAGTTGGTCACATAGCATAATTGCCTATGTCATTTTTTAATATTTTCTGGAAACAAAAGAGAAATGAAAAATTTTAAACATATTGGCCACGGACCGTGTGTTTTTTCTCGTTTTCAAAACATATTGAAAACTGACTGAGGCAATTTTGCAACGTGGCCGACGAAAGACGCTTACACACTTGTCACATACATATTGTCATCGTCATTTTTTTTTTCTAAATGCAAAAAAGAAGAATCTATCCATTCATCCATGATGAAATTGTAAATCTGATTTTTATGAAAACAGAGTTTTGATTTTAGGGCCGTATTGACCAGCCCTACCCTATTGAAAATGTGTTCAAACTTACCATTGTCCTTTTTCAGACGCTTGGAGATCTCGAAGAAGATCCTGGTGTAACATGTGATCATGATGGCCAGGGGCAGCAAGAACAGGCAGAAGAAGGTGAACATGTTGTATGCCGTCTCATGCCAATGTCTCCCAAAACTTCCTCGTGTGGTGCACTGCGTGAAGTCCTTGGGATGCTTGATGGTCACGTTGTGGAACAGGAACATCTGAGTCGGAACATTGACAGTTTAATGCTGTTGTTCAGCTTAGCCAGCCTCTCTCCTTTTTGCGATTTAAAATGTAGCTTTCAACATTAGTCGTCTTTGGCCTGACAGTACAGTCATGGCTAAAAGCCTGAAAGAAAGACTGATAATTAAGACTTGTAGAGATGTGATTTGAAGCCACTATATGGCACAATACATGAAACACTTGCAAATACGAAATGTACCGCGGAGAAAATTATTCGTCTTAAACTCGGCGGCCACACCAAGAAGAGAACCAGATCAAGTCTTAGGTCTTCGCCGTTTGTTGTGCAGCATTTTATCTTACTCTCGTATTGGACACTGGGATGTCTTGTGTTCTCCTGTTTATCTGTAGTTATCTTCTGCCGTTTTCCTGATCAACGTCCTTTTATAAAGTTTAGACACACGCTCACATAAATATATCGTGCTTTCAAATTGTATTTCCCCCCTTCCTGATTTCTATGTTCTTTTAAATCGAGTTTTATATATTAAGTGTACCTGTATGTTTATATATGTTGGATATGTGTATACCTCATCTCAACTCATGTGCTTCTATATTTATATGTCGGATTTATATAATTGTCTATATATAATTTATACGGCATACTGTGCAGGATCTGCAGTTTCTGATTGAATGAGTACCATTCCATGTTTGGTCTGCTTATGTTTTAAATGTTTTAGGCCACAAGACGTCGTGTGGCCTAAAACATAAAGACTCCCTATTGTGTTATTCATTTTTAAAACATAACCCTGTGGCTTCATGAAAACATTTTAAACATGCTGATTATGTCCCAGGTTATGTATCTCTAAGGAATGATGTAGCCCATCCATATTCATATAGTACTTAACAAACGTCGGGGGGGTTCTCCAGGAAGTGCGGCTCCCTCCGACATTCCAAAAACATGCATGTTAGATTTATTGAGGGGTAAATGTATGCGTGAATAATTGTCTCTGTCTATGTGTCCTGTCACTGACAGGCTGTTGTTATGCGACCCTGATGAGGGCATCTATAAGCGTTTGTCCATGTGCAGTAAATTTGTTACACTTCTTGTTTGTCTTGGTATCATGTGGCTCAATAAATAGTCTTAAGTTTGATGTCCAATACCTGCCCACATTTGTATGCATTTTCTCTCACAAAAACATGCAAATTGGGGTTCATTGAAGACTCTAAATTGTCCATAAGTGTGATTGAGTGTAAATTTGTTTGTCTATGTGTGCCCTGCAATGGACCGGTGACCAGTCCAGGGTATAGCCTGCCTTTCACCTAATATCAGCTGGGAATGTGGGATAGTCTCCAGCTCACCCGCAACCCTAATGTGAACAAGCCCTGTTGAAAATGGATGGATTGATGGATGGGTGCATCTTAGACGCAAGCCACGGTATGAGAAACCTTGATGGCAATTAAGTGGGGCCGTGTGGGCCTTCTACTGAGTGCTGGTCTAATTTGATTTTAGGTGAGCTGACCTGAGGGATTGACAGCAAAACACTCATGGTCCACGCCACCGCCAGCATGAGTCTGTTCCTCTTCCGGGCCTCGTTGATAGCCAGCGGATGGAGAATGGCCGACTGCCGGTCCAGGCTGATCACCACGGTGACGAAGGCGCCCGAGTACATGGCCAGGAGCTTGAGGAACATCAGGAGCCGGCAGGTGAAGTCGCCAGCCAGCCACTGCACCGTGATGTTCCACGCCGCATCCACGGGCATCACCACGAACGTCACCAAGAGGTCGGCCAGTGTCAGGTTGATGATCAGTACGCGGACATGGGATTTGCGCTTGCTGTCCGCGTAGGCCGCACAAAGCACGGCAAGGTTGCAGAACGCCGACACGCCGCACAAGATGAAGGTGACAATCACCCGGACTTTGGCGGCGGTGCTGAATGTGGGCAACTCGGCGCGGCGATCAAGGCACAGCGACGACACATTGCAGCTGCCGTTGGCGGGCTGGAGCTCGGCAGATACCTGGTACATACTAGCATCCATTTTCCTGAGGAGGATGCATTTTGCTCAACCAGAAGAAAAAATGATGGGTGAGCCACAGCCTGTATGCAACATGCAAATCCTTTTACGGGGGGACAACTAACACCTCAAGTCATATGGATGAGTGATTCCCAACCACCGTGCAGTGTTGCTACGGATACCATAAAAGTAATTTACTGATAACTTGACTTTAAAAGTAACTTGGTTAAGTTTCTTATTCCTTGATTTTAAAAGTAACTAAGTTCGATTGCAATTTACTTTATTACTTACATTCATCAGATGCTGACAAAGCTGGAATGACATTTTTAAAAGTGCAATAAAATAACTGTTATTCTTGAATGTCGCTGTTAAAAATGCACTGCGAGATGAAGCAGACGTGCTAACCCTTAGTGCACCGTTTAATCACACCTGATTCATTTTGAATGAGGGGCAAGTCATATAAGATTGTTTTCAACATTCCATCCATCCATCCATCCATTATCCAAGCTGCTTATCCTCACGAGGTTCGCGGGCGTGCTGGTGCCGTCTATGGGCTGTAGGGGGGTACACCCTGAACTGGTTGCCAGCCAATCACAGGGCACACATAGACAAACAATCATTCACACACACAATCACGCCTACAGACAAGATTGCTCGTTCACCCTACCATGCATGTCTCTGGAATGCATGAGGAAATTGGAGTACCCGGAGAAAACCCACGCAGCCACGGGGAGAACAAACAAACTCCTCACAGTGAGGCCAGAGCCCAGATTCGTATCCTGGACTTCTACTGTGTGGCAGACGTATAACCAGTCGTCCACTGTGCCACCCAACAAAAAAAAAAAAACTTTTAAATTAATCTAGTGATCAAATTATCAAGACTGACGACAATTACTAATGAATTATTACACTCACAGTCTCACACTGTAACAGCGACACTGCACTTGTTTTTCTATTATTACTGCTGTAAATAATGAATATTTAATTCAAAAGAAAAATAAGATTGGAATTAATTTTCTAACAGGGCATGTGGACTATATGCTACATTTTTGCACACACATACAAATCTACTTAAACTATATGAATGGCATCTTAGGTCCTACTAAATACACACACACACACACACACACACACACACACACACACACACACACACACACACACACACACAAAACGTACTGTAAAGTAAATTGCATGCATTAATCAAATGATACTATGGTCCAATATTTTATCCAAAATATATTTCTAAGCTTGAGTGGAAATCCTCAAGAAATTGTACTTACTCGCTTTGTGGAAATGTGCTTCTGTGCATGCTTGGTAATAATTGCAATAAAGCCCTCCGGGAGAGAGGGGGGGAAAAAAAAGCTTTTGTCAATGTATACGCAGCCTTCAAATAAGACAGTCAGTCCAGCATGAAGAGCTTCTCTTTGAATGCATGCACACACACATGCTGCCGCCTCCACATGCAGCCTGTGTGCCAATGAGGGAAGAGCAAAGGTGTGGCCCCACCTCTAACCATGCCCAAATATATTTGGTGCACTACTGTAAATTAGTTGTACATTACAAAAATAACTTATTAATGATGAATGGCAAATGATTGATTTACGTTTCCATGTTCATGAACAGACATCAGTTCAGCCTGTCAGACATCATACATCACAAAACATAAGACTAAATTCCAAATAGAAATTAGACATTCAGAAGACTATTTTTCTCTTAAAAAAAAAAATAAATAAATTACAGTACTTTTTGCTTCCCAATACAAATGCCATTGATTTAAGTGTCATGAAGAAGGAACTAAGGAAATCCGTTTGCCGCCCTGTATTGCCTGACATATTCTACATACAAGAAACCGCCACTGTTGGATTAGTAAACCATCCTCGCGGTAAATATTTTTTAAAAAATGTTAAACACATTAGCAATTTAAATGTCTTAGTTGTCATGCAGGTATCACGCAGTCCTTATTGCATGTTAAGCCGTAGTGTAGTCTAACCAAATTTGCAGATGCACTGGGGGGGCGGCAGGAACGCACAGTGAGTCGTAGTCTACCAAATTCACAAACGCGCTGATCAAGACCATTGCCTCGGAACGAAAATGACGACATGCCCGTTTTCACGCCAAGTGCAGACCACTTTCTGTTATCAAATTGTCAAGGGCAGACAACTCCGTGTGCCAGAATGCCCAGAGAGGCGCAAAGTGGCGCCAAACACGTCGGTGCGAAAAATTAAGTTGCAACCGTATTTATACCAACTGCATGGGTGCCAGTCTACGAGGATCGGGCCTTTTAAGTTTAGCATTACATATAATCAAACATCTTAGCATGAGATGTGAGTGGGTGTATTTTTTTTCTTGCTTCTTGATAAAAGCATCATCAAACCTCGAGAGTTCTTACAGGAAAGAGCATCTTTACCCACTCCTCCAATCTTGTCACAATGATTGGGCTCCAATTATCTTCGAGATAATTAGCCTGGGGGAGTAGCATACTTTTTCCACCACTCACACTGTGACGTATACATGTTGTGTTCCGCAAAAACATGAAAAGAGAACTGTATTATGCTGCTCTTTTGTGGTGATGCGAAGATCAGATAACATCTTATGGCAAATTTATGCAGGAATTTAGGTAATTCCGCAGGGTTCACATTCTTGTTCTTGCTTGTCTGCTTATTCATATAGCATATGACACACTAACCAAAAGTATTAGGACACCTGGTCTATATACACACAGGAAGGTAAATTATGGAGTTTTTCCCCTTACAATAATTTGGATATTTTATTTGATTACGGTAATCATTCCACCCAATAGTTTTCTATTGCATTCCCTTATATTGTTGCAGTCTCGCTGCATCCACAAACAGTCAAAAAAAATCAAAACAAAGAACACCACCGTGACCATCATTCGATAATCTTGTTGCATGTATGGGCGCGATCACCAGATGTGTCTAGGTGGATTAATTTCCCTGGTTGCTTTCACGGTAGATGGTCAAGGAACACGCTGACCCAAAACATGTATTATCTTGTGAGCACACCTCCCTTTGAATAGAAGATGTGTCAAATTACCAAATTTGATACTGTTTGAGCTGTTCTGTTTATCTTGTCATGATACGCAGGGCGCTTGTAGCATCTATTGTGGTTTCGCAAAAGGTCATGAAAGAAGGGACATGATGTGCTCGTGCAGATGGAAAAGGTTACTTTGTATCGCAGTTAGATAGATATGTTTGCGTAAGGGGGCAGTAACGGTGTGTGGGGGTGGGGGATGATTACCTGCATCACTAAACTAGACCGGTCACAGCGCAAAAATTAAGATGTATCCGAGTTTACGCCACACGCAATCTAATTTCTGTGACCACATTATCAGGCGCGTCGGGCGAGGCGGCTCCGTGTGCCGGAACGGCCAGAGAGCCGCAGCACGGCCCCAAACACGCAAACACCCCAGCACCAAAATGAAGATGCGCCCATTTTTACGCAAGGCGTTACGGGCACCCGCCTCCAAGTGTAGGGTCCTTTATTTCCACAATTTACTACTACATAGTTCTCAGTCTTTGCACACACGTTCAGCAATAATCTTCAAACATTATGTGTTTATAAAAAAAATCTCTTAAGTGCACTTGAGCAGCACTGCCATTTACATCTTGTCTTGCATCACATCTTCATCCTACATCTCCTGATGTACGCACTGACTCAGGCACAGTCATCATACACATTACATCACGTTTGCCCATTAGGCTGGAATACTGTTGATTCCATTTTCTTACTCACCCAAAAAGCTCTGCAAGGCAAGAACACTATCATTTTTTTAATTGTTCCCTTAGGGGCCATTTTCAGGCGGTGGCACTCATTTTCACATGCTACATTTAAACATTCTCATTAGAAAGGGTATTCTGCACAGTACATCACTGTGAAAATATCAAATGAGACTATAATTATAAATTATCTGATGGCATAAGTCTGCTTATACTCCACTTTTATTTGTCACATACATGGATAAAAAGGCCAGAGGTGTTTATTTACTCAACTGAAGAGATTTACCAGTTCAAATACTTTTTTTCTAATCATATTACACGTTTTTCATAATTCTTTCATGACGATATCATACATCCATCCATCCATTTTCTGAACCGCTTTCTCACAAGGGTCGCGGTGACCATCTAATATGTAAGTACATAATATATTATCAATAATAATGTCTATTGTACCTTTTCACTTAAAACTCCACGTTTGCATGTTATCCCTGTGTCGACATGTGTTTTTTCCAGGTAGTCCGGTTTCCTCCCACATTCCAAAAGCATGCGTGGCAAGTTAATGGAACGCTCTAAATTGTCCCTAAGAAAACTTTATTAATCAGTTTTTATGAGAAGGTTGCAATTGTCTGTGTTTGCCTAATGATTAGTCCATTCTTGAGCACTTTTTTTTCTTCTTATCAGCACTTGTTTAATGACAAATTCACATGAAATGGCTGCATCAATGATTGTCAGATAGCATCTGGGGCCGATCCGACGGACAGGCCATTAGCTAATCGGTACTGAGGTGGGGCATGTGTGACATCACATCGCCTACTCTTTGGGTTCATGTTGCATTAGCGGTACCACTCGGGCGGAAGTAAAGGATCAAGAGGTACAGCATGAATAACGGAGTGAGAGATAGGGAGTGCTGACAAGAGAGCGGAGCCTGATAAACAAGCTCTTCAAATGTAAAGATGACATGTTTTGGAAAAGATCGTCATTATGTGGAGCAGTATGTTTTTCACTGCGTCGTCTGTGTAGTTACCATCTGAAACAAACAAGATAATAATGTGGAAAATAATGACAATGACTCATGTTAAATCCTACAGCCATAAGAGCCCCAAATAGCTTGAAGATAATTCAATTTTTAATATTCTCTTATGCAACATTTTTCAACAACTTGGGTGTCCGGATAAGTAATGTTTTTGGAGATGCAATGATTCCACCCAACAGCAATGATATGTCAAATTGTTTATTTTAATAAGAAAATAACTACGCCTTATTTTTAATATTATTATTATTCATGAATTAATCATCAATCAAACTTTATTTATATAGCACTTTTCACACATAAAAATGCAACCCAAAGTGCTATGCAATTAAAACTTCACAATTACAACATAAAAAGAGGACTCCCTCCCCCAACATACACAAATATATATCCCCACAAGCATGCCTATGCACACGCAGCCACACACACACACACACACACACACACACACACACACACACACACACACACACACATTCCCTGATGACTCTGATATTAAAAAAAAAAAAAAAAAGTCATGACAAGTTCAGGGTGTACCCTGCCTACGGCCGGAAGACAGCTGGAATAGGCTCCAGCACGCCCGCGACCCTCGTGAGGATAAGCGAATTAGAAAAATGGATGGAAGAGTGGTCGGTGATAGTATAGTAATAATCAACAGAAAGAAGTCAAAAGACATTGTGCTCTGTATATTCTTCTAAATTACATCTCTCGAACTGTGGACTAGTGCGTCACCGATAGAATCCGTTAGGGGGCAAAAGGTGAGCAAGCACCTCCGGCATCCGCATGCGCGTAGAACGCGAAGAAGAAAACTTGAAGAAACGAAAATGATTGGTTGACATTTTCGAAAGCGGTGTTACTTTTAACCAGGTTTATTTTCCTCTGTTTGTCCCGTTTTTGGTTGCGGCTTTATAAATAATACGTGGCAGTGGTGAACTTGCCGAAAAGCGTAATGTTTAGGGAGTTCGCCTTAAGACGTCAGCATGTTAGCTACTAGCCGAGGGTCTCTCCTCCACTCTGCAGTAAACTTTAACCGCTGGCGGACAAAATGTCTGTTCAACGAGCTCTGGTGGACTGTACCGTGCTGTCTCTACAAGATCCCTGCGTGTTTTATCCATGCTGTAAAAACTGCTTTTGCAGAATGGACGTGGAGTCGCGCGACACGACGAGGTAAAAGTATCAAAACAAACACTAACCGTGATTGCTCTTGAGAGCAGTGAGTCCTAACCGTAAATTGACATTCTGAATTGTAAAAAAAGAAAAAGAAAACAGTATAGTGATACCAGGCTCATACAATTAAGTTAACAGGAACACATTTAATGACGTTTAAATTGAAATATCAACACTTGACATTTTATTTTTTAAACAAATACAATAACAAGGAGCACGGTAGTATTTATTACATTCTGTCAAAACACCAATGCTAATTATTTATTGCTATGGCTTTATCTGAAGAGCTTGTTTAAATGCTTGTCGAAGTTGCGTTTGTACAGTGCTCCCACTATACACACACTACATCGATATTATTCTCGTTCATGTGATGTGTGACGTTCTGCCTAATGTCTCGAGCTAGAAACTGCGCTGCACTGTACTAATGGCAGGGTTGGACAGACAAATGTTTTTTAAACAATGATACAGGTTTGTTCTATGCACCCCAATTAAGGAGAAAATTCCACACATTTTAAAATCATCTCATGAGGCTGCCATTTTGCCCTGTACTGCTACTTGTTTAGGTTTGACACCTGTGGTCAATTTAATGAGCTAATGAATTTGTTGACCAAATATATCCTCTATTTTGTATTTGTATTCACGTTTCCCCATTTTTGTGATTCTATCAAAGATCCAGTTGTTCCAGGTGTGCCTACAGCTGTGTGAGAGATCAGCTGGAGTACAGATATCGTCTTTCACTATTGGTGACCAGGGACACCAGTATATTTGGAGTCACGGTGTTTGGCAGCTGCCTGAACCCATTCTTTGGCATTCCCGCAACTCAATTTCAAAGGTGAAAGAGAATCCTTCAGGCTGCGGTCGCAGAGGATTAAACAACTTCTGTAAATATAGTGAACATTTATCTGTTCAGACAATGTTTGAAGGATCATTTTAACAGTCTCAACTACCATACACGTGTATTGGTCAGTCTGGCATTCATTTGTGCTTTGACAGGGTATTGGAGAAGTCGGATGGACCATTTGAAGCATCAACCAGATCCAAAGTGTTGGCGAGGGCCGTCGAGGACTGTTTTGTTAGCAGAAATCTTGTTTTTGGAATAAAGGTGTGTTGTAAGTCTTGTATTAAAACAATGCCTGTCATGTAATTGCAGTATGTTTGTGACCCCGGCGCTCTGTGTGCTCTGCAGGTGACAGATTCAAAAAGTTGCCCATGGTCAAAAGATCATAATCCAGATGCCTTTGATCACAAGGACATGGCACAGTTTACTGCCACCCAGCTGATTTTCCCTAAAGTCGCAGGCCTGGAAGGCCACTCTGTCCTTAGGTACTATCGACTCCTTCGGAGAGCAGAAGAACATCAGCGAGAGTCTGTTGATCCAAACAAGTCCTGCGGGATCCTGACAACACCGCGACTACAGATTCCTCAAGATTCTGCTGTCGGCAGCTTCAATAACATCACTCTGTCCCGTCTTTTTTCCCACGCCCTGCAAAGGTAATGTGTGTGTTTTGTAAGAATATTAAACAAGAATATAGCTGCAGCATTTAGGCAAATAGTGATTGAACAGTAGATTGGAAGCAATGTCTTGAGAGTTGTCGTCGTATATTACGAGGCAGGCTTTTATTTGCACAGTGTGATTGAATTCAGACCATGACCTGTTACAAAATTATTAAATGTAAAATTGTTGAACAATGTTTTCATTATATTCATCAAGTCAATAACCCAGTACTTAATTACATAAATCAATTAAAAGAAATGAATGAATAATTATATTTTAATTAACCAATATTAGAAGAATGCAGTATTAAAGCAAGAAATATTACAGTCTTCTTGATCATGTAAATTCTCAGTGAGCTGGATTAAAGTCTGCTTTGCCCACCCGTAGTGCATCTGTTCTCTGGCCAGAATATTAGGTACACTGGCACAATCTCATGAGTCTTCATCATATGCTCTCATACAGTTGACACCGCTCTAAACTTCCGGTCCGGAACGACATTCCGTCTCCCCTCAGCGACGGTGATTTGCGTGTGGTAAAGCTAGCACGGGTGCCTCATGCAAATGGAAGCATCACTTCCAGTCACATTTGTTCTGCCTCACAGGTCGCAGCACCACGATGGCAGCTTAACTCCCACGCCGCCATGGCAACAATCACTGGGACTTGTTACTTCATCTGCCGAGCAGGAAGAAGAAGAGGAAGACTGCTGCACATGCGATGACAACCAATCAACTGGCAAAGAAAAAGGACGGAGCACTTTTTTTGACACCCCGCCATTTTCTCTATGCTGGCCTGCCGAAAATGCCAACTCCTCCATTTTGAACCATGTGACGCCCTCCAAGCCTTCACGTGTGAATTATCCACTGGCCTCTGAGAGTCAGGCCTCCAGACAACAGAATGATTCACCGGTGACATGTTCGTTAGTGTGGGAGGATTTGCCTTTTTCGGAGAGTCTGACAGCGTTTTTGAATGAGGAAGACAAATATTTCTCCATGATAAGAGACAAAAACTTGCCCAATGAATCCATTTCTACTTGTAGCAATAACACAAAGGCGCCAGGAAGTAAATTCCGGATTTCAGCGGACGTCGCTAACACTCGTGTTCTGAATGAAGACAGTGAAGAAATCTACAATTGTTCTCTGGACCTGTTTGGTTTAAGCTCAGTGGATCCACGCGAGGAAGACGTGCAGCCTCCGAGACATCAAAAGTTTGTCAAAGGAGCCACTGTTCATAACACACCTTCTCGAGGCATGACAACCCACCGGGATTATCCGCAATGTCTCGACTTTATCCCATCATCTCAGTCTACTCCCATTGTTAGAATGCGTCCTTCCTCCTCTTCCTCATATCCTTTGTCATCCACTAGACATAAAAACTTTTCAAAAAGACGATCCAGGAAGCACAGCCTTGCGATCCTGGGAGGGATTTTGAACAGGAAGCTGGTAAGTGAATGTGACGCGCCTCAGAGCCAATCAGAGGGACACTTTGTCATTGTCCTGCCCACTCCTGCTGAACTCAAAGTGGAAAATGGTAGCTCTCAGGAAAATCCGCCATCAGATCCAGCGCAACCAAAGCACCGTGATGCAGCAGTATGTGATAGAAACACACAGTTGGATCACACAGTCAATGAGATGGCAGCTCATGCTTCCTTGTTTAAGGACCAAACATATGATTGGTCCAGAGATCTCTTCTCGGACTCCGTCTGAAAACTTCTGTCCACTCTTCCTTTTATTTAAATGGTGGAGCTGACCAATTACAAGTAAATAAAATTTGGTAATTTCCCACGGCACAGTAATTTGCCCCGGGCATACTGATAGGGAATCACTGCTAGAGAAAACGGATGGATGTCTTTATTTATATGCACACTGCACTTTTTGTTCTATAAAGCATAGACATGTTTTTTTAAGGTAGTGAAACTGCTCACTCTGTGTGTGTGTGTGTGTGTGAGAGAGAGAGAGACAGAGAGAGGATGATGTTCATTTTGCCTCTACTTGTAAAACTGTCCCACAGCAGTTTCTTTTCAGCGGGTTTCGCAACCTGTATGATTGTAATTTAACAGAAGAGATTAAATAAATGTCTGAAACCACACAGGCGTCTTACTTGTTGGTGCTTTTAGTGTTTTAAATTGAAATGACCACCGTCATGTACAAACCCAATTCCAATGACTTTAAGATGTTGTGTTAAACATAAATAAAAACAGAATACAATGATTTGCAAATCATGATCCACCTATATTTAATCGAATACACTACGAAGACAAGATACTGAATGTTCAAACCGATAAACATTTGTTTTTAGTAAATCATTCATTTTGAATTTTATGGCTGCAACACGTTCCAAAAAAGCTGGGACAGGTGGCTAAAAATACTGAGAAAGTTGAGGAATGCTCATCAAACACCTGTTTGGAACAACCCACGGGTTAACCTGCTAACTGGGAACAGGGCAGTGCCATGATTCACTATAAAAGGAGCTCCCCTAAATTGCTGAGTCATTCACAAGTAAAGATGGGGCTCTTTGTGAACAACTGCACGCAGTGGCGGTTCTGGGGGGGGCCAACGGGGGCCAGTG